CACACAGGGATGTGGGGATGGGATTTGGGGATGGGATCAGTCCAGTGCACACAGGGAACTGGGGATGGGATGTGGGGATGGGATCGGTCCAGCACACACAGGGATATGGGGACGGGATCCTGCAGGGGTGTGAGGTGGGATGCCCATTCCAGAACCCACCAGGAGGAGGATTGCACCAGGGCAAACCCAACATGCACAGGGACAAAGGGACAGGATCTCCTGGGGACCAACCCAGCAGCTGCAGGGATGTGGGGATGGGATCCAGGAGGGATTGACCCAACAGCCACAGGGATTTGGGAACAGCCAGGAGGGATTGACCCAACAGCCACAGGGATTTGGGAACAGGATCAGCTGGGCAGGCTCCTGTGGGGATCAACCCTTCACGCACAGGCACAGAGGCAGGATTCCGTGGATGTGTGAGGCTGGGACCCTGCAGGGACATGGGGCTGTGAACCCATGGGATTTGGGAACAGCGAGGATGTGGGGCCGTGATGCCATGGCATTTTGGTGACATGGTCCCGCAGGGATCACCTCGGCATCTGAGGGAAAATGTGGCTGTGATCCCACGGGATTCAGGGACATTATTCCACAGGGATCAACCCAGGATCTGTGATCCCGTGGATTTTGGGGACACAATCCAGCAGGGACCACCCCCCTCCTCCTGGGCTCCCTCGGCCCCCCCAGACATCCCCCCGGCCCCCCTACCCGCGCCCCTCGATCTTGCAGACGTGCTGGATGAAGGGGCTCCAGTCGAAGGTCCCGGGCTCGCCCCGCGCCCACCGGCCCAGCTCCTCCCGGTTCACCGCCAGGTAATCGGTGGCCACGATCTCCTCGAAGTGGTCGCAGGCGCTCAGCAGTTGGTAGATGGTGGGGCCCGTGCCCACATCGATCAACGTCCTGCCCCGGATCTCACCTGGGAGGGGACAGGACGCGTGGTGGGGAGAGATCCTCACAACAATCAGGGAACCGGGCAAACCAGGCAGGAGCAGAGGAGCTGCCCGCGGGCGCTCCGTGCCTCAGTTTCCCCACCGCACTGGAGGGCTTCCCCGCCGCCTTCCTCTCACCGCTGGCGAAGGTCTCGGCCAGGCATCGCAGCTTCCAGGGCACCACGAACTCCTCGGAGGAGAAATCGGCGCGGGGTGGGAGGTAATTGTTGCGCAGGTACGCGCGGGGGTCGAAGTGCTCGTAGGCCGGGCTGCTCATGGCGAGGGGCTGCGGCTCCGGCCCCGCCGCCGCCGCCTTTTATCCCTGCCCGGCCCGGGGGGGCGGCGGGGAGCCGTGACGGCCCCATCCATCCCTCCCGCATCCCTCCATCCATCATCCGTGCCGCCTAACCCGGTTAGCGCCGCGCCCCGGGGCCGCGGCCGGATCCGGCCCG